AGTGCAAACAGGTTGGGGGAGTGCACACAGCTGGGGGAGCACGCACAGCTGTGGGGGAGTGTGCACAGGTGGGGGGAGTGTGCACAGCTGGGGGGAGCACGCACAGGTGGGCGGAGCGCACACAGCTGGGGGAGCACGCACAGCTGTGGCGGAGTGTGCACAGGTGGGGGGAGTGTGCACAGGTGGGGGGAGTGCGCACAGCTGTGGGGGAGTGTGCACAGGTGGGGGGAGGGCACACAGGTGGGGAGGAGCGCACAGCTGGGGGGAGCGCGCACAGGTGGGGGGAGCGCGCACAGGTGGGGGAGCGTACAGAAGTGGAGGGAAGCGCACACAGGTGGGGGTGCACACAAGTGGAGGGGAGTGCACACAGGTGAGGGGAGTGCACACAGCTGGGGGGAGCGCGCACAGGTGGGGGGAGCGCGCACAGGCGAGGGGAGCGCACAGAAGTGGAGGGGAGCGCGCACAGGTGGGGGGAGCGCGCACAGGTGGGGGGAGCGCGCACAGGTGGGGGGAGCGCGCACAGGTGGAGCTTCCTGAAGACTGTAGGATGAGTAGTTACAACAGTGCCCGGGCCCCCTGAGTGCCGTCCTAACAGATTTCAGCTTTACAGTTTGTGTGGGGCACCTTGTTGCCTACCTTCACACCTAGTGCCGAGGTGCTGGCCTGGGGCAGTGACAGAGCCCAAAGCCCCTACAGACCTTGCACCTTGATTTATGTCCTGAGCTCATGGTGCTGGACCCACGGTTATTAATATATCCCGTGTACTGGTCTTGGAGGCTGAGGGTACATGGGATACGGGTGTTTATGCCTTTTAAGGCACAGTGTTCAGAGCGCATGGCTTTTCGGGGAGCTTTTTCTTCATGGTGATCCTGCCCTCCCCTGGATTTGGGAAAGTTTCCAGAGAGTCTGCAGGTGGACACTGCATCTGAGGCTGGCACACGCTCAGGCTGGGGATCCCTTCCTTCCAGGAAGTGAAATAACTTGTAGGGACTTCTGATCAAGATTAAGTGTGAGTTCACTTTTACTTTTTTTTAAATGTTAATTTATTCTTGAGAGGGAGAAAGAGTGTGAGCAGGGGAGGGGCAGGGAGAGAGGGAGACACAGAATCTGAAGCAGCTCCAGGCTCTGAGCTGACAGGACTGACAGGACGTGCACTCCCCTCCACGTGGGGCTTGAACTCACGAACCCATGAGATCATGACCTGATCTGAAGTCAGACGCTTAACTAGCTGAGCCTCCCAGGTGCCTCACTTTTTAAACCCTCCCATTCACTTCAAATACCCCAATTACATGTGTTTTAAATTTTTAATTAAAAAACATAGACTCAGAAATGTAATAAATATCCCTGCTGAACAAAAACAAAACAAAACTTACAGTGGGGAGCAGAGGCTGAGCTGCTGCTTTGCTGGACTCTGGGTCCCAAACAGGCTGTGGCATCTAGACACGAGACTCTCGGAGAGTGACAGGGGCCGCAAGTGCCCAGGCACAGAGACAGCCGGAGCCGGTGCCGGGCAGAAGACGGGGGAGGGCCTGGGTGGGTCTCCCTGCTGGGGACACATCCCAGCCCTGCTGTATACCTGCTGTATACCGTTTGGGGGCGCTGAGCCAGCAGCGTCAGAGCTGACCTAGACCAGCGTCCTGAGCACCACGTGGAGGCAAGCCCAGCATCCCCAGGCAGAGACAGTACTGAGAAGGAAGTGAGCCTCCTCAAGTGAGCATGCAGGTGGCAGTCCTGAGTGTGCAAGACTCGCAGTAAGGAAGAGCCCACAGGACTCACTGGGAAGCGAGTTTATATCCTCAGAAAGGCAAACAGTAGAAGTGTTTACAATGGATACAAATGATGTAGGTTTAAATTCTTCAAGAGATTGGTGATCTTGTGCGGGAGGCACATATGAGTCAAGAACAGATGGATAGGAAACACAGCCAGTTAGAGGTCCCGAAAATGAAAACCAGTCCCTGGAAAAATTCAGTGGTCACGAAAGTGCACAAATGGCCACACAGAGAGAACCAGTCACCTGGGAAGCAGGGCAGGACAGTGCCCAGGAAGCCCAGCAAAGAGAAAAGGAGAAAAAAAAGCTGCAGGAACTTTTGGATGCATGACAGAGTGAAAGACTCCACCAGTAGTCCTTCTAGAAAAAGAATAAAGGGAATGGCGGAGATGCAGTATGCGGTGAGAAAGACTTGAGTCTTCAGCTAATGATGCTGAAGATTGAGCAAGTGAAGCTGAGAACACTGAGGAAGAAGAGAAAATCTGAAATCCCTTAGGGATGCAGGGGTGTGGACTGCGGGCATCTGCATCATGAGGTAAGGGTTGTGGATGGCGTTGGCCCTGGCGTGGAGGGGGTTGGCCCTGGCCCTGGAGTGGAGGGGGGCAGCCTTGGCCCAGATTTGGAGGGGGGTGGCCTTGGCCCTGGAGTGGAGGGGGGTGGCCCTAGCATGGAGGGGGGTGGCCTTGGCCCTGGCGTGGAGGGGGCGGCCTTGGCCCTGGAGTGGAGGGGGGTGGCCCTGGCCCTGATTTGGAGGGGGGTGGCCTTGGCCCTGGAGTGGAAGGGGGTGGTCCTGGCATGGAGGGGGGTGGCCTTGGCCCTGGAGTGGAGGGGGGTAGCCCTGGCGTGGAGGGGGCGGCCTTGGCCCTGGCATGGAAGGGGGTGGCCCTAGCATGGAGGGGTGTGGCCTTAGCCCTGGTGTGGAGGGGGGTGGCCTTTGCCCTTGCTTGGAGGGGGCGGGGGCAGCTGGCGCGTGTCCTGTGGGTGGAGAACTGGGGTTGCCAGGCCATGGATGGTGGAGAGAGGCCAGGAGGACCTCACGCAGAGCGACGAACAAATCCAGTTGTGGGTTTTCAGGAGACCCTGGAGATGCTTGGGATTGCTGGGAGGGAACACAGTCTGCCCAGATTTGCCTTTTGCTTTTTCCCTTATTCATGTTACGGCTGAAATGGTTTTATCAGTAGACAACGTTTGCTTTTTCTACACAGTATTGAAGTAGAAGTAGCGACATCTGTGAGGGTGGGTCGCTACTGGCGACCTTCAGGACTATGCGTTTAATTATTCCCTAGCTACCGGTTGGGGTCTTATTCCGTGGCAAGCACTTAGGGATACGGAGATAAGGGAGACGAAAGTCCTAGGCCGCATACAACCTATGTTCTAGCAAGTCTGACAGGTAATTACTAAGTAAACAAATGTATAGAATATTGGGTAATGGTAAGAAAATAAAGAGCAGGTGTATGGGGGCAAATTTCATGTCCACCCAGAACCTCCGAATGTGACTTTATTTGTAAGTAGGGTCTTTGCAGATGGAATCAGTTACAATGAGGTCATACTGGCGTGGGTGTCCCCCAAAGCCACTGCCTAGTGTCCCTCTGAAGAGAGAGAGGGCCCAGAGACATGCCTGGGCAGGGGCCCGGTGAAGCAGAGGCACAGCCGCGAGCCAGGGACCCCCGCATGGCCGGCCACAGGCCTGCAGAACCGTGAGACAATCCGTTTCTGGGGCACCGTGCTCCCGCAGCCCAGGACACAAATGCAGGGGGTGGGTCCGATCCTGCCCTCCCCTCGGCCAGCCAGCCCTCGCGCCGGAACCTTCACGTGTTCGACTTTCTGTTCACGACTATTCCTGGAGGCGGCCACCCCTGGAACCCATCCCTCCCTTTATGCCCCAGACTTGCTTCCCAGTCATGAAGAACAAGGAAGCTCCATGCTTTGAAGGCAAACCAAGTTTTCGGTGAGTTGAGGGCTTCATAACATTTAAGAGTACGTAGGCAATTCCAGGTTTCTAGACCAAGAAAGAAGCACCGTCTGAACCGCACGCGGCTCCCCTCCTGACTCCCGGAGCACCTCTGCCCCCCCTTGTCAGCCCCGTGGCTGCAGAACCTGGGTCTCCTCTGCCCCCAGTACGCACCCCTGCCCTGTGGGGCTCCAGGGGCTTCCCTGATCCGCCTCCAAACCCCAATTTCATCTGCTGTTCTCGAGATCATTCAGTCGCTGCTGCAAAAACTCTTAGACAAAGTCCATCAAGTGAGATTTAAAGGAGGAAAAAGAAGGCTGTGACCCAACGGCAGCCAGGACGTCTTAGACACTAAGTTGGGCAGTGCTGGCCCAGGGCTGACGATTTGGGAGTCCCACCCTTCACCCCCACATTGAAGGCCACGCTGCCCAGTCTAGGTGTGGAGTCAGAGACAAGTTCTTGTCTCAGAGAAGCTACTCTCTAGCTCCAAACGGTGATACTGCTGTCACCGCACTGTGACTTTCATGCTGTGACTTCGGTGACCTTGGGCACCTGCCTGTGGGAGAGACAGCAAGTCTGCCCTGTGCTGTGAACTGCGTGCATGTTTGCAGATGTTGGAAGCTGTGCAGAGCCGGGTGCTCCTTCTGCCTGATGCTCTGAGAGGCCCAGATCTGTTGTGCCCGAATCGCGAGTCCCCAGAGACCCCCAAGGAGCCAACACCGATGCAAGTACGTAAAGGTCTTTATTACAAGCTCGAGCTGGGGCTCACCCTCCTACTGGCGCAGTGGCAGCAGGGTGAAGCCCTGAACAATGGCGAGCAGGGTTTTTATGGGGTCAGGGACGGGGGTGTTACAGTAACACGTTGTACGTATAGCATCATCACATAAGCACCAATTACGATTGTACAGCGCCCATGGTAACAACTCTGACCATTCAGCATCCGTGAGGCATCCGTTACTTTTGGCGGGACCCTTTCATGACCTTTGAGAATCCTTTGAAAATGACCAATTATGAGGTGGGCTCAAAGGGCCCACGTGGGGTTTAGGCAAGGGGTGAGTGATTGGCTAGTTTGTACAGAGTAACTGTCTACAGTTCCCAGCCCTGACTCAGACCACAGGAATGTTACACGTTTCTTTGATTGGCTGATCCGAGGGAGGTCCGAGGGTGGCTTCAGCTGGAACTGGGGCTTCGTGCAGCCCGAGCTTCCTCTTAATTGAGGACTTAATTTCAGGCTCCTCAGATCCTCGGCCAGACTGGAGGGAATGAGAAGGGGGACAAGACTCCTTTCTGAGGTGACATCACAGGCGGACGATGACTGCTTTCTCCTTCCCCGCGGCCTGCGTGGGGCAGAGACCAGAGAGAGGGAGAAAACACTCGCCCTTGAAGTTCGACGCTCGGTCATCCGACAGGCTGTCTGCCGTCCAGGATGGAGCACTGTGTGCAGAGCCTTGGGGCTGAAGAGGGCCGGATGCTGTGTGCTCGGGCCTCCTGAAGCCACACGGTCATGGCCATGCCTCCCACCTGTCTCTGAGCCTGTGCCGTCTGCGATCATGACCACACCCAGCTCCTCCTCCATACCCGGGCTCCGGGCAGTCCCTGGTGAGACACTGGCGGTCCTTGGGACTTGCTGGGGAGCCCTGCTCCGTGGAACCGATTCCTTCCTCCTGGAGTGCGTCCAGGCTGCCCTCGGAAGGCCACGCCCCCTTCCTGCTCATTCTTCAAGGGACAACCATTGCTGTCAGAGTTAGTTAATCTCTGCAGGCTCCCTGGCTCCGTTCAATGCCTGCAGGGGAAGTAACAGATCTCAGAAAAACCTCAGTGTTTTTTTTGTTTTTTTTTTTGGTTTGAGGGTTTATTTTTAATCCTGTCATAGTGAGATAAACTAGGTGAATAAAGCCTTCTCTTCTGTATTATAACAAATTCATTCAAGCCGACCTGGGGCAGAAGCAGTCACACAGGCCTCCAGGAGACGGGTAAGTAGAGTTCTGGTGTGCAGGTTGACCGGGCACTAAACTTTCTCACAAGTGGAAATGGGCTGGGCTGATGGGCCTCTGCGTGTATTGGGAGGAAGCAAGCTTGGCCCAGGCTGTGTGGGAGGCAACAGTTTCATTTTCTATTGTTTATCCTATTCAATAGTCAAAATGAAACAAGGACGCAAATGTGGAGGGGCTGGGTTTTATCCACATCTCCCCCCTTCCCCCCATTTAGGGCGCCTGGTGTTTTTGAGGCAGGTGGTGGAAGGTCTTGGTTAAGGCAGCCATGGTGATCTCCGGGCTGCCGTCAGCTAAGCACCCAGAGGATCCAACTTCATCCGGTTGTTGGCTGGAGCTGGTAGAGAGGAGAGTAGAATCAGGCCTGCGTCCTGTCCCCTGGAAAGCCAGGCAACAGCCCGGGAGGGGAGACTTTAAGGAGGTGGGTCTGGATTGGGGTTGGGGGTTTACACCATAGATGTGGGCATGACTTTGAGAAGTCTTAAAATGTTTAAAAATAAGATTCAGCACCAGGGTACTTGGAAATTTGTTCCAAACCAAAGAACAACTGGCTGGAATTAGCAGAAGCCTGTGGAGCAGCGAGGTTTCCTCTGTGATGGGCCTGCAGCTCACGGCTGGGCTCCCCGCTCCCTGAAAGAAGACACCAGACCCAGGCCCTTCCCCGCTCTGCCCCCAGCCCCATTCCTCAACTTCCCATTCTCTAGCAACTTTCTTCCTTCTGCAAAGGCCAAAATCAGGGATAGCCTTTCTAAATCTCCAGAATTTTGTTGGGTGATTAGTTCAAAGTCAAGCTTGACTATAACACAAGGAGGCAAACAGATAAAGGCACGTGAGAGACTCCAGACAGGAGCAGATGTGCAGCCTGGCGTCGGCCTAGTATCTTAAAGGCAGGGCTGGTGTCCAGAATCAATGTCAATACCGTGCGCCTCGTAGCAAAGGACATCAGCGCTCCATCTGCTCGGCAGGGAGGGGGAGGGAAAGCAAGGTGGTGTAGACCCTTGATGTCTGGGCCGCATCACCAGGAGCAGCCTTTTGGGAAGGTCAGTCCTTGGCATACGGCTCCCACTGGGAAGGGTTTAGTTCCCACTGAAATTGGAAGTGTTCTCAGGCCTTACAATCATAGTTTTTCCCTCTTTGCCCTTGGCTCCCTTTTCTTCTTCAAATTCCCCTTTTTGCTTTTCATCAGAGAGGAGCATCAGATAATTTTTAACAGAAACGGAATGAATGAATAATAAAAGTTCAAATACTGATTTGGGTGTATTGGCTGCAAAAAAAATAACTTACTCCATTTCATAGGGCTTTTCCTGGGTGCTCAGAGCTCCATCTTCCTGCTACTGTGGGTCTCAAGGGGTCATTTCCCCCTGACTTACTTATTTGCAGACTTCAGCCTTTGGCTCTGCCCCACAGAGCCTAGCTGGACGCAGCTGGATCCCTACCGGAATAGAAGGCAAAGGGAGCTCATGAACGGCCCGCTGGCGCCATCTACTGGACAAAGTTCTTGATCCGTTCTTGAATGAGCGCGCTTCACCTTGATCGTTACTACCTTGCTTCCTTGATGGACATTTCTCTGACTCAGTAATATACGTATATTATTGAGTGAGTGCTTATATTTGTTTCCATAACAGCTGTACTGCTCTATAATTCACATGCCTGACAATTCACCCATTTAAAGTCTGCAGTTCCATGGCCTTTAGTAGATTGACTTGTGCAGCATTGTCACAATCCCAGAATCTGTCATCACCCCAACAGACCCCCAGGCCAGGAGCAGTCACTTCCCATCCTCCTCATCCCCCCAGCCCTAGGCAATCAGCAACGTGCTTTCTGTCTCTGGATTTGCCTATTCTGGACAATCTGTAGTTTTTTGTGTCTGGTTTCACTTAGCAAGGTGTTAGAGGCTCGTGCCGGCAGTAGCAGGTATCAGTCCTTCATTTGTTTTTAGGGCTGAGCAACAGCCTTTTCTGTCTCCCCCACTGATGGCCATTGGGATTGTCTCCACCTTTCGGCTGTTACGAATAATGCTGCCATAATGGTCGCGTACGGGTTTTTGTGTGGACATGTGTTTTCATCTCTCTTGAGTACGTACCTAGTAGCGGAATTGCTGTGTCATATGGTAACTGTTTAGTCACCTGAGGGCCTGCCAGACTGTTTTCCACAGCAGCTGCTCATTTCACACCCCCACCAGCGGCACGTGAAGGGTCCGGTTTCTTCACATCCTCCCCAATGCTTGTCACCATCTGACTTCTTGATTTCAACCATCCTTATGGGTGTGAATTGTCTTATTGTGATTTGATTTGATTTTCATTTCCCTGATGGCTAATGCAAGTGAGCATCTTTTCATGTGCTTGTTGGCCATGTGTATATTTTCTTTGGAGGAATGTTTATTCTTTGCCCGGTTTTTAAACCGGGTTAATTTGTATTTTATTACTGAGTTGTTGTTTCTTATACCTGTAGACACAAGTCCTCACCTTGGCTGTGCCGGCGCATGGGAGGAGGCAAACTACATCCAAAATGTGCCAAAGTCCAGAAGGGAGAGCTGGTTTGGAAGAAGGGAATTAGTTTAGTTCTGACCTGATAGCCCTACCCTCATCCGGACCCCGTTTTTCTGCTCTGTGCCCAGCTTGGAGCGCACTCTGGGGGTAGAGGGATCGCTGGGCAGGGAGGAGGGGGGAGACTGGGGTCTTGAGCTGGTCCCACATTTATAGGCGAGGGAAGGAAGGGACCCCTCAGGGACGGAAGCAGAGAGGCCAGAGCAGGTCACTGGGAAGACGAGAGATGGGGGGGGCCTCCCAGCTGGAGTGTGGGGCTGTCAGTGTCTAAGTGATCACCAGGCCTTCCAGGTCATTTATCACTGCAGGGCTTGTAAGTTTCTTTTTAAGGGACTCTAGCTTCAGGAGCGGATGGAAGAAACCCACAATACCACACCGGATTTTTGAGAGTCCTTACCAATTTTTTTTTTTTTTTTTTTACTAATAAACTGATCACTCAAAAAAAAATTTTTTTTTAATTGCCTCGCATTTCTCTCTCTCTCTCTCTGCCTGGGATGCGGAGCGCTGACTTGCCTTCGCAGGAGGAGAGCCAGAAGGAGAGATGGCATGTTAACAAGCTTGTTCAGTTGGTTTCTATCTTGTTAAAATTCTTTAGCATTGAAAATGAAGTTGTTTCTTGTTTCCGTGAAGATAGAGCAAAAACTCTTCTTTCCTGTTCTACTACCTTTTGTTATTTTAATCTAAATGACTGGGAGTAGCTGTGTTGGATAATTAAGCTTTCTTGAAGTATTTGAAAGGTCGAAAGTTCAAAATCTGGTATTTGTTTCTGCTGTCTCTGCCTGATCCCCACTCCAGGCGTCCTCTCTCCTGGCTTACCTGGTGCTGCTTGAGGGAGGCATGTTCTCTCCGTCATCACCACCCGCCGGGCTGCTGGAGAGGGTCTTCCGTTACATTGACCTCCACCAGAATGAGTTTGTGCAGGTAGGAGAAACCACACCCACAAAACGCTTGCATGCTATACCCTTTGGGGATCTGGGTGAGTGGTTATTTGCTGGGAGGTATGGTTTTTTTTTTTTTTTCCCTGACAACTTAATTCCATTTAAAATGCCCTTGAGTCTTCACTGAATTAAACTAAGAAGTATTTGTGGGGTGCCTGGATGGCTCAATTGGTTAAGCATCCAACTTTGGTTCAGGTCATGATGTCATGGTTTGTGGGTTCGAGCCCTGCATTGGGCTCTGTGCTGACAGCTCAGAGCCTGGAGCTGCTTCAGATCCTCTGTCCCCCTCCCTCTCTGACTCTCCCCCACTCATGCTCAGTGTTTCTCTCTCTCTCTCTCTCTCAAAAGTAAATATTAAAAAAAAAAAATATTTGTTAGATTTAGGTAAGAGATCCCTTGTAGCCATGCCTCCTGGGGGGGGGGCATTCCCAGAGCGCTTCTCAGGCTGTCCTCCTGGTGCTGACGCCTGCTGAGCCCACACTGGCCCTAGGCCACCCTCAGAGCGCCCACTTCCCCCTTTACAGGGGCCCTTGCTGAGGTCCCTCCTCCTGCAAAGCCTGCCTGAGACTCCTCCCCCATGACGCCATCCCAGGGTAATACCACCTGGCTGCAGCAAGCTTTAGGTCCAGAGTTCTGCCGAGTTCAATGTCAAAGCTGTTTGGTAGACCTTGTGCAGCACTTTATCTCCTCCCTTAGAATCCTCGGCTCCATTCCTAATCCAGTGCATGGCGAACGGCATGTGGTGTGGGCATACATCTCGGGGCAGGGGGGGGGGGAGGAGAGGGAGAGGGGAGGAGGAGCAGAAAGCAGAGAGGGGGCCTGGGAACAGAAAGGGTGGGGGCAGGGAAGGGCTGTAGCCACCATCCCCCAGCAAGTCCCCTCAGGACTTTGTACCCTGAGTCCCCACGCCATGTCTGGCACATGATTCGTGTTCAGTACACGTGTACTGGATCAAGCAGCCAAAGTTGGCGATATTCATGGGCAGACAGATGGGAAAAGCTTGTGTCTCATGCTCACACATGAAGCCGAAAGGCCAGGCCACTGGCCCCACACTTGACCTTCGTGGAATCCTTCCTCATACTTACGGGTGTCTTTACTTCGCATAGTGCCTGTTGGGTTTTTGAAACCCAAGTGGAGACTCCAGCGTAGTTTGGAATTAATGAGGGAGACGGACAGCGTGTGGTGAACACTGTTGATTTGGGTCTTTCAGCCCAAACTCTCCTTTCCGCAGTCTCCTCACAGGTATCCAGTCCATTGCCTTTAGGGATTACTTGGCAGCCTCTGCTCTATAAATGTCAGATTAAGATGCAAAACACAATATTCATTCAGGTTAAATTAATGTCTTCATACTAAAAATAAAAGTACCAGAACAGGGAAAGAGACCAAACTGAAATAAGTTAGGGAGTCCAAGATCGGTATCTAAAATATGTGTGGGTTTTAATGAAAATGGTGGCTGTCCCAATATCAGCAGCTCAAGCCCCAATAGTGGAATGTGATTGATTATTATTTAAAAATTTTTTAAAAATATTTATTTATTTTAGAGAGAGTGCGAGTGGGGGAGGGGCAGAGAAGGAGGGAGTCACAGAATCTGAAGCTGCTCCAGGCTCTGGGCTGTCAGAACAGAGTCCGACAAGGGGCTCGAACTCACGAGCTGTGAGATCATGACCTGAGGCAAAGTTGGATGCCGGACTGAGCCCCCCAGGCGCCCCTGTGATTGATTATTATTGATAACTCAATGCTAGCTGGTGTTGATTGGGTGCCCCTTAGGGCCCAGGCACCAAGTAAGTCGTGTGTAGCCATCTTCCCAGATCCTTGCGGGAAGGAACCCTTGCTGTCCTCATGGCTTCCCTCACTTCTGTGGCCAGAGGTGTGTATATTACACACACCCAACGACCGTCTAGCTCTCTGGACACCAATGGGGCACCCCAAGTCCAGCTCCCTTGACACCACCTGCCTGGTGTGAGCGTCATCCCCCTTACCCCCTCCACCAACTGTGGACGCCAGTCACAGGTAATGAGCCCCCAGTTACCCACGTGTTCGCTACAGCTCCCCTGACCCCCGCTCCGGCCCCATCGTTCGCTAGAACAGCTCCAGAACTCGGGGAGACGCTTACGGTTGCCACACGTTATGTAATAAAGGACATGATAAAGGGTGTGTATGAGCAGCTGGATGACGGGGCACAGAGGGCAGGGCCCAGAAGCACCTTTTGTCCCTGAGGGGCTGGGGTGCGCCACACTCCCGGGCTGTGGGTGCAGCCACCACCGTGGAAGGCCTCTGAGCCCCGTGCTTCCAGGGACGCTGATGGAGGCCTCGTCACGTAGGCGTGATTGGTTATGAACCTGTCTCCAGCCCCCCTTCCCTGCCCAGAGGACGGGGCTGGGGTCGGAAGCCCCACGCTTCTAGTCACAGCTTCGTCTTCCTGGTGACCCGCCCCGTCCAGAAGCCCGTTAGAACTGCCTCATTAGAGCAAAATATGCTCCTGTCTCCCAGGACATTCCAGAGAGAGAGGAGCTCTGTTTCAGGTGACCAGTCTCTGAACAAAAGGTGCTCCTGGCACCTTCAGCTCAAGGGAAATTACAAAGGTTTTAGGGGCTCTGGCCAAGAGCCCAGGACAAAGATCAAAATGTACATTTCTTATTGTGTGACAGTGTCCCACTCACAACCACCCGCAGTAGAGAGCACTGCCCTCCTCGTAGGGATGACGGAGCCGAGGCCGCAGGCTTGAGGAACCTATGTGGGTCATACAGCTCGAAGTGGGGAACCCGGTGCAGGAGGCAAGGCTGTCTGCCTGCACAGGCCCGAGTGTAAGCCCCCGGGCTACACTGCCTACTGGGTTCTGGAGGTGCAGGGGGGCCGACCACGAAACCTACATGCGGAGGGTGGTCAGGGAGCCCTACAGCCCAGCCGAGACCACCGTGGGGTTAAGCACAGTGAGCAGCGAGGGCCAGGCGCCTCCGGGGCCTTGTGGGAGGCCCGGCGTCCTGGAGCAGAGCCGCCAGACAGCTGCCCCCGTTCTCAATAAACCAGAAGTGGTGGGTCAGGACCCCCTGTGCACCTGGTGGCGGAAGGCATCCCCGCGCCCAACCTGCCTTGCTCTGTTCCTCTTTACGAAGCGAACGTCTCTACCAGCCCGTCCGGCACTTACTTTTGAATGTTGCGTGTTTGCCGGCTCAGTGTTGAGGTCAGATGAAGAGGGGGAATTTGGGGTCCCCCTCCCTGGAGTCACGTCTCAGTGAGGTGCGCCCCACCCAGAGAGGGTGTGGATGACACCCCTGTCGCCTTTCCCCACAGATCCTTAAGGAGTGGGTGGCTGTTGAGAGTGACTCCGTGCAGCCCGTGCCCCACCTCAGGCAAGAGCTCTTCCGAATGATGGCCCTGGCCGCGGACAAGCTTCGGTGCCTGGGTGCCAGCGTGGACTCCGTGGACACCGGTTTTCAGCAGGTGTTGATGGCCCCTCCCCCGCGGCGAGCTGGGCCATCTCTGCGCCCGACAGCTGTGCCTTCCCCTGGGGGTGGGAAGACGGGAACTGGCTTCAGTCCTCCGGGAAAACGCCCTACAGCCTTGATACCCGATAAAGGTGAAAAATTACACCTTGTCCCTGACGAGATGGTTTACTGATCTCTCCTGCCAGGACTGGGAAGGCCCCCTCCGTGTTCATTCACAGCCTTCACGTGTGCTTCAGGTTACTCCCCAACCATCCTTTCCCTTACGTTCAAAGGCACCTTTCTCAAAGGACCCAGTCTTTCATCAGAATTACTGCTTATTACTGTGTCTCGGTCGCAAATGGCAATCCTTATTTTAAGTGCCAGTGCCGCCTGCTTCAGCATTGACAAGTCCCCAAATGGTCCGCTTTCCAGAACCACATCCACCGAACTTAAGCCCTTTGAGTCCGAGTTCATACTGAAGAGCATGTTCGATTAAGTTGATTGTCACCATGCATCTAAAACCGTGCTTTACTTTTGATTATGTTTTCGGTTTTAATTAAGTTCTCATGGTACCGATTTTCAAGGTAGATAAGGTGATGATCAGAAAAATTATGTGAGCTCTACAAAAAAAGAAAAAAAAAAACAGAAACAAAACAGGACTCCTAATGTTATGCCTGTGAATTTTCTGGAAGAACTAGACAATGCTTTTTTTTTTTTTCTTTTTCTTTTTATGTGATCTGTTTTTCTTCTGCAGCTGCCTGATGGTCAGACTCTCCCAATACCTCCCATCATTCTGGCCGAACTGGGAAATGATCCAAAGAAACCCACTGTGTGCTTCTATGGCCACTTGGACGTGCAGCCTGCTAGACAGGAAGATGGGTGGCTCACAGACCCTTATACACTGACGGAAGTGGATGGTCAGTGATGCATCAGCATTGGTTTTTTTGTGGATAAGGGGTTGCCTACAAGGCTTAGGAATTGAAGATTGACTCCTATCCCCTGTCATCATTAAGAATCAACAAGATGCTGCCAGTCTCATAGTCTACCAGTTGTCCAACAAGGCTGGCTGTTTTTCATGTGTGAAACAAACTACAGCTGTGCACGTGATGTGTGCTCTTGGGCGAGTTAACTCCCAAGATGGGGGTTCTTGGGAGGAAGGTAATTGTCTAGGTCACACAGTTTCCTTTTTTAAAATACTAAATGCAATTATACTTTTTAAAGAAAAGAAGAAAGGTTAATAGAGATACACACATAGCCTGTTTTCATTCTTCTGCGAATTACAAACTCTTGAAAGGAGAGGCTGTGTCACATGACATTCTGAACAAGTCCACAGGTCCTTTTCAAGAGCTTGGATAACATAGCTAATTCCTATTGAGGCCAGAGGGATTTGTATTTCAAACTGGGTGGTTTTATCTGACTAACTGATGGCCATACTGTTTGTACGAAGAAATCAGACGTGGTGATCTCAGAGAAGGATTTGCACCAGGAAAAATAGGAAGCACTGTTAAAATGATTACCCAAAAACTACCTTTGTTTTTAACTCACTCAACTTGATACTCTGGTTTCTCTTCAGATCAAATAAATCTTTCGCCTTTTAACTCACTCAACTTGGCAGGGGTGTCTGTGCTTTTCTAAAAGTTCTTCCCCCATTTTTAAAGGAAAACTTTATGGACGAGGAGCAACAGACAACAAAGGCCCTGTTTTAGCCTGGATTAATGCTGTGAGCACCTTCAGAGCCCTGGAGGAAGTAGGTAACCAGCTGTGTTTGGGAGGGGTTGCTGTTGGCGTTGGTCACTATGATCACGATGATGATGATGATGATGACGACGACGACAATAGTGGCAGTGAAGGTGACGATGATGATGGTGATGATGATTATGATGATGGCGATAGTGACAGTGAAGGTGGTGCTGATGGTGATGATGACGTTGATGAGGGCAGTGATTGACACAATGACAATGATGACAGTGATGACAATGATAATGATATGGACATTGATGATGGTGACACTGATGACAATGACCACAATGATGATGACCAGGATGACAAAAATGGCAAAGATGAGGATGGTGATGACAATAAAGGCAGCGTGCTTTGCATCACTCACTGTGCTCCAGGCTTAAAACTGTGCTGTGTCCTCTGCTCTTCCCAGCAGTCTTTAGGGGTGTGGGTTACTGTCACACGCACTTCACGGATGAGGAACATGAGGCCTGGGAAAGTAAAGGGACTTGCTGAAGCTGCCCACTGGTCTAGGGCGGGGGCGGTGCTGGTGCTTTGGGCCTGTGCTGTTGACTACAGCTAAAAACAAAACACAAAGCACAGGAAGGGCCTGTGCTCATCTTTTTAACCTTTCTCTTGTCTGGTCTTTTATCTTTATCTTGTCTCTTTTATCTTTATCTTACTTTAGCTTGCCTTTTTTATCTTCTCCTCCTCCTTATCACAAAATATGGCTTCATTAATAGAGACAGACATGCACTTTAAAGAACATAGTAGCTACTTTGCAGATTATCAAGAGAGAACTCTCTGATATGTGACATCCTGTCTGCATCCTCAGTGCTCTTTCCGTTTGTGAGAAAGGTAGTTTCAGTAGGTGTCCAAATCAGGACATGGAAAGGTAGGGGTGCGGCTCTGAGGAGCAGTGCCTCCTCTTCCAGGCCACCAGAGGATGGCACTGGTGGACCCAGGCTTGCATCTCTGTCCTCATGTGATTGATGTTCTCTAAGGACGGTTTCATCTCACACTCCCCCCCTCTTGCCAACAAATGTGGTTAGATTCCAAACAGAGGATTCGATAGCTGTGTGGCCATGTGCAAGAGAGTTCATCTCTCTGGGCCTCAGATTCTGTTCTGTAAAAACGAAGACCTTGATTTGGGTGGCCAGCTCTCCAACACTGTGTAGTTGAAGGCGTGTTACCATTTCCCGTCTCGCTAGCGAGCACGGGGGCAGGGAGAGCCTGGCCCTTGGCTCCCGGCTCCTGTTCTTGCCCCCTGTTCTGGAGGAGGGTGGGAAACTCCCACATGGAAGCTGAGCCAGCTCCAAGTCTGGGGAGGCTTCCTGGAGAGGAGGCAGCTCTGGGGCTAGATGTGGTGGAAGTGGCCATTTCAAATGGAGATGGGAGAGAGGAGAGGAAGAAGGGGAGGGCCATCATCCCACTCCAACTCCCAAGGTGCTTCCCAAGGAACGCCAGCCTGTCAGCCTCTCCCTATGCATCAAGTTCAGAGCACCTACTGTGCTCCAGACACTCGAGAGGTGCAGGGGCTGCAAATACAGGTCCCCATGTCCTGGCCTCGTTCCCTGGCTCACGCTGGACCTGCTTCATAGCCCCAGGGTCTCCGGGTGCATTGAGATGGACTCAGCATTTTAGAAGCTTCCTCAGGGCCCTATGAGCCAGAGTTTCCCTTCTGCTCAGACCTTACTTCTGATGCATCCATTGTGGAAGATTCCTTGAAGTGCAGTTTGGAATGGGGCATCTGAGTTAAGTCAGAGGATTGACATTTCACACGAATCTTGTTCCGTGTGGTCTTATACTAGGAAGGAAGCTTGGGTTGGCTCTGTTGGTTCTGGGACATGCGCATTTATTAGACTTGGCTCCATCTGGCTTCCACAAAGTATTAGCTTTGTGCCTCTGGAGTGCTGAAGGGTTTTGTGGGACTAAAATGTGTAACCTTTCTATCTTCCTCTCCTCTTACTCGCATGAGTTAATCGATTTAAGCATTTGAAGATCGGATATTTGAAAAGGAAATGGGGCCCATTGGGTGGCTTCATGGGCAAAATAAGGTGTTGCCAGACACAGAGCAAGGAAAGCCTCTGCCCACCCCCAGGTGGGGGTGTCTAGGACAGAGGAGGTTCAAAGTCAGGGTCCTGCTGTGTGGGCCTCCATCCAGCCTCCTCCAAGGAGACCTGGGGAAGTAGAGGTGCATGTCCAGGCTTCAGGCGGAGCAGCCTAGCCCGCCCTCCTGGATGGCCTCTTCCAGATCCTGTCCATCACAGCAGGTCCTGACTTTGTGACATGTTTTCCTAGAGGCAATTTCATCAGCTGCCAGGGGCTTCTCTTTCAGGAGTTCATTTTCTCCTGAGACATAAGCAGAAGAGAGGGAATTTAACTGCCCTTGACTCAACTGTTTCATCTCACCGAGAAAGACAAGCCGAATAAGTGAGACTATTTTTCTGGCTGGGTCCCATTGACCACTGCAAAGTTGTCTCCCCCTTCGTCATGCCTGCTCTGAAGAAGCCCTGATGTTTAACGTGGCCTTGATTTCTCTCTCTTCTTCTCTTTCTTTAGCTCTCTCTACATTCTTTCTCTATGTCTTTCTCCTTCTTTCCTTTCTTCCTTCCCTCCTCCCTCTCTCTTTCTCTCTCTGTTTTCTCCCTTCCTTCCTTCCTTCCTTCCTTCCTTCCTTCCTTCCTTCCTTCCTTCCTTCCTTCCTCTGTGTCTATCTCTGCCTCCTTCCTTCCTTCCTCTCTCTCTCTCTGTTTCCTCCCTCTCTCCTTCTTTCGTTGTCTCTCTGTTTCCTTCCTTCCCTCTCTCTCTTCCTTCCTTTCAAGGGAGAAAGCAGTATTTATAATAAGGTTCCTATATATAAAGGCCAAAATTTGCTTTGCTTTTTAAATTTCAACTCTGAAATGCACATTATCACAAACAAAACATGAGAAGTGTTCACTGTTTTTGGACAAATCAGTTAATCTCTCATTTACCTGACTTGTGAACTAGGAATAGTCCCCTCTACCTCAGGAATCTGGAGTGGGGGAGATGAGGTCATATGTGGGAGGGGCGCCGTGCCCTGGGCGTGAGGCCCTGTGCAGTGCGGTTTCTTCTTAGCCAGTGCCCCCCGTCCCCCTGCCGTCCCATCCTCTCTTTCTGTCTTGCTTATCGAGCGCTTTTTTTTTAAATTTTTTTTTATATATTTTTATTTATTTCTAGGAGAGAGAGAGAGAGACAGCGTGAGCAGGGGAGGGTCAGAGAGAGAGGGAGACACAGACTCTGAAATAGGCTCCAGGCTCTGAGCTGGCAGTCAGCATAGAGCCCGACGCGGGGCTCGAACCCACGAACCGCGAGATCATGGCCTGAGCGAAAGTCGGACGCTTAACCGACTAAGCCACCCAGGCGCCCCGCTTATCGAGCGCTTTAATGCACCTCACCTCACTGGGTTATTTCACCAAGAGGCAGATCCATATTGCACAGGTAGGGAGGTGAGTGGCTGAGAGGCTGGAGCAGCTCATTTCGGGTCCTTTGGGCGTCAGTGACAGAGCAGATGCCCAAACCCGGGACTGGCAGCCCTGTGTCCCCAACACATAGCAGCTACTGGCTTATATTGTATTAATCACGTTTTGCCAGAAAACTCAGGCTTTCCAGCTACTTCTCAGCAATTGTTTTCTAGTTAAATGTTAATAAAGAGCTTTCAAATATTAATATTTCAGAACTTCAGCTTAACTTCTTAAGACACATAGAAATAAATGTACGCAAGGGATACATTTGAATAAATTGTTACCCCCAAATGCCCTTAACCATCTGAATGACCGAAGGTCACTTGATTTCTAATACATAATCCTCCACTCATCCTGCCTTTGTTAATCTTTGGTGAGTCAATCCCAGTGGCTAGAACTAATTAGAATGTTTGTGCCATCGTTTATCTGCATAGAATTACTTCTAGAGTGCTCCTGTGCGTGTTTTATGCTCCAGGAAAAGACTTTGACCTCTCCTCTTCATGTGGCTCTCAAAGATATGAAGTTATAAATTATAAAGATACAAAAAGATCAAAACCAAATGGGGGGAAGGCACGTTGTAAAAATTTTAAAGGAGCTGTTCTGTGCCCTAATATTAGCTAGAGAAAACCCAAGTTCCATTTTGCTGCAAGATCAAAGCCTTTGAATAAGTTAAAAGGCAGATTGAACTCAAAGCTGAAAAATAACAGATACTTAAAATAAAAATTATCCTGAGGCTTAAACATTAGACAGTCTTTCAAAGGAAAGAGTTCTCATTTATCATGCTCTGAATTAGGAGGACAGAAAAAAAATGTGTAATCGAGTAACCTTTCTTGAAAGGTTCCTTTTGCTGAGAAGGGGGAGGGCACCCATCTCTGCGGCAGCCCAGCCGAGCCCAGCAGTGCAGACGCTGCTTTTTCTGTAGGAATTCCTTCCCCGAATCCTTTGTGGTCCACACTGAATCAGTGGGCCGTGCTGGAGGCCGTACCCTGGGCTTTCCCTTGAATTCTCCTTCTCGGTCTTAGGTACGACCCTTTGTTGTGAATGGAGCTGTTGGGTGTGTGGACAGCTCATATGCTGAATGCGTGTAGTAATGTGTTTATGCCACATGCAGACGAATTCTGGGTCTGAAAAGATGAATGGGCATGTTGTGCCAATTTTTGACAGAGTGGTTTGTTCTGTTGCTAATCTGATTCAGGATCTCCCCGTGAATATCAAATTCATCATTGAAGGGATGGAAGAAGCCGGTTCTGTTGCCCTGGAGGAACTGGTCAGGAAAGAAAAGGACCGGTTCTTTTCCAACGTCGACTTCGTCGTAATTTCAGATAACCTGTGGATCAGCCAGGGGAAGCCGGCCCTCACCTACGGCACGCGAGGGAACAGCTACTTCAGGGTGGAGGTATTTGCAAGGAAGGGAGGAGTCCATCCTGGGATCTTGGAGGGAAGAGAGAATGCTCTGGAGAGAGCCGAGTTCTGACCTGGAGGCATGGCTGGGTCACAGAGGTCATGGAGGTCTCAGGACGGGGGATTCAGGAAGCCCCCCAGACAGAGTGGTTGTGCTGAGCGCAGTTTTCTGGAAAGAAGATACAGGAGTTTGTGACTCACAGAGCCAAGAGGTTTAGGGAGCACAGCTGTGGAGTTTGGAGGTGAGAACAGCAGTGCTCGGGGTAAGGGGGCTGCCTGATGGGACCGCGGCTGCTGTAAGGAGACAGGACCTGCTCTGGGGCAGGGGGAGGCGCCCCAAGGGGTTGGGGGGCAGCTGGGAGGGAGAGTGATCCCCGCATGGCTGAGGCTGGTGGGAATTCTGGCTCACACCCTGGGCAGGCTCCTTGAGTTGGAGCCTCAGTTTCCCTACCTGTAAAGAGGGCCCAGTAATCCCCACCCAGGCTTGTTGTGATCCCTGAGTACGAGGTCCAGTTTGGCTTCCTTTAACTTTTCTAGTCAGACGATAGCACTTTAGAGCCGGAAGATTCTTCCCTGGTAAATCATTAGTATTTTAGCCACTTTGTGTGTGTCTTCATGTAACAGCGAGCACACTAGCCACACGTGCCTCATCCACACCCTGCCGCTGTGAGGATCAGAGGGTGCAGAAAAGATGGATACACTCATGTGTGCCTAGGCATCTGAACTGCAGCACGTACCTGCTGTTCACCAGATGTGAGGATGCTGAGTCCCAGGGGGGACAGCCTGGCTGAAACAGTTCCTGCCCTCGAGGAGTTTACTGCTGGGAGATACTGATACTTGGAGACGTGGTGTGGGGTGGAGAAGTGGCGAAGTCCTTGTGGGAACCTCTCTCAAAGACTTGGCCTTGAGAAGGCATGAGATGAGACAGCATCTAGAGGGGCACAGGGTCTGAGCATCATCAGGAGGCAACAGAAAACCTCGAGGGAGCGGGGTGTTTACGAGAACAAAGGCACAGGGGTGGGGGAGGGCGGTCCTGAGCCTGCAGGTGCAGCACATCTGTCTCGCTGTGCTGTGTCTCTGGTTCTCTGCTGAGCAGGAGGTACGTCTGCCTGCCGCCGAGGGGTGACTGGGAACTGGCCGGGAGAACAGACCAGATCATGATGAAGTGTCGGGCAGGCTTGGGAGGGAGAGTCCCCTGCCCATTCGGTTGGGTCACTGTTTGCACTTGAGCTCAGTAGCCAGGGATGGAGAAGGCCCAGGTGGGCAGGGCTGCCGCAGGGCTGAGGTCATTCCTGGCGGTGTGAGGGAGGGACTGGGGGATGACCCAGTGTACCACTGGCCACAGACAGTCTGAAGTGATGGGCGGTGCAGGGCTGAGGGGAGACAGGAGGAGAACAGGCGCAGAGATCTTGGCTGGGTCAAGGGAGGCCGTGAGCAGGTGCAGGAAGTGAAAGGAGAATGAGGAGGGGAGGGGAAAGCTGATGAAGACTTTGGAGGCCCCATAGTGCTTTAGCTGGTGTGGCTGCCTCGTGACATAAAGGGTTGAAGCCTGTGACTCAATGGAAGATGCATCTGGCAGTGCTTTGAAGATGCCTGGACCAGCCCAGTAGGGAAGATGGAGGGAACAAGCCAGAGAGACCATTTCAATGTAACTCGTTAGGAACTGGTAGCAGATGGGGCGTGGAGTGCGCAGAAGTCAAAGACAACCTTAAAGTGACAGATTTACAGGACCGGGGTCTCTTTTCCTTTTGGAAATGGGTGAGCTGGTAGGGAGTAATTGTGGGAGAAGGTGTGCAATTCCCTTCCACATCTATGGAATTTCAGAAACTGGGAGCACACACCAAAGTATTATGCACCAGAAATAACCAGCATTTTTAGGTCAGTTGAGTAGGTGAAAGGTCAGACCTCCAGGGATGGTCACTTAAGGGTGTGCAGGTAGTAAATGACATCCAGGGAGGCAGTTCTTTTTTTTCTTTGAGAGACAGAGAGAGAGAGAGAGAGAGAGAGAGAGCACAAGCGGGGGAAGGACAGAGAGATAGGGAGACACAGAATCTGAAGAAGGTTCCAGGCTCCAAACTATCAGCACAGAGCCTGGCTCAGGGCTTGAACCCACCAACCATGAGATCATGACCTTAGCTGAAGTCAGATGTTTAATCTACTGAGCCCCCTCCCCACCCCACCGGCGCCCTAGGGAGGGGTTTTTGAAATCCTGTGTGTAGAGGAAGTAGGAGCCAGGGACTGAGTTCTTGGGTGGGAGGCAGGTGGTGACTAGTGGAGACACCAATGGAATTGCAAGAAAAGGATAAAGAGAAGTTTCTGGAAGGAGGGCTGAGTGACTGGTAGGGTTGGGCTACAGAGACACCAGCCACTTGGAGAAGGGGCTGCTGGCCTCACACAGAGCCGTGTTAGAGGAACAGTGGGGACTGAAATCAGATTCAGAGGATTCAGGAAAGAATGGGAAATGAAGACAGGGGAAGGGTAGATGGTCCAAGTAGTGTGACCAGGAAGTACCCAACTGAGTCCTGAGGGACAGCATGTGGGGGTGGGCCCCACCACATGAGAGCTTTTGCCAGAGCAACCAAGGGGTAAGCCCCTGCCTTCTCATTTACCTGTCTTGCAGGTGAAGTGCAGAGATCAAGATTTTCATTCAGGAACCTTTGGTGGTATCCTCCATGAACCAATGGCTGATTTGGTCGCACTTCTTGGTAATGCCTTATTTCATTTCACTTTTTAATCATTGGGGAATCTACTAGAAAAGGTTCCATTTGGCTCAGTGCATCTCTCCTCCTTTGGCTTCTAAGCCAATAGCTCTGAGTAAGGGTAGAGTCGAAGAAGAACCATACTCTTGGATTCCCCCACTTTGGCCTAATGTTTCTTAGGCTTATTGAGTCCACATTACTTTAGTTCATGGACTGAAGCTCTTCCTCACTTCGCCCCCTTTTCTTTTACTGGATATTGTGACACAACTGGCCACATTCAGGGACACTAGCAGAGAGAACCTCCTGGAGAAACATCCAGAGATGATGCCAAATACATCAGCACCACTTGGCTTCCTTTGTCCAGGTTGCTGTGGCCCCAAATGGCACCAAGGCTCCCATGGGTGTGCTTGTGGCTGCCTACCCCTGACCTCACAGTGTCAGGGGTACACAAGCAGAGGTTGTGTGTGTGTGTGTCTTTCCAGAGAGCCAGTTTGCCCACCTTGATCACCCTGATTCACCCCATAACTCTTGCTTACGTCCACCTGCCCAGCATCTGGTGGGTCCCAGGAGTTCAAGGAAGCTTTATATTCAGGGTCCTCACTTGGATGAGCCCCTTTCGCAGTCCTGGTGGGGACTCTGTGCTTTTGTGTTCATAACTTGGTGTTCTTTTTAAAAAAGAGGTGTTCAGGGAAGCATTAGACCCCATAGTACTTGGATCTGTCTCACTTGGCACAAAGCATTCTTTTATGCAAATTTTACCGTGTGCCTCTTTTGGACAGACATGTCCCAAAAAGCATGTCCTCTCTGGGAATCAGCCAGCAAAAGTCTCTTTTCTTTCTGGTTTGACACAGCTTCATCTGTGGCCCACGGGCTTCCCCTGGGCCTTTGCAGTCTTGAGAGGGCTCCATCAGTCCACCTGCGGCACCTGGCGGGAGGCTCCTCAGGGTGCTCAGACCATCTTGACTTGTAGAGCTCCTTGCTCCTTCGTTTCCCAAAGTAGATAATGAAATATATCCATCGATCATCTATTATCTAGCAATGCTGTCTATCTGTCATTTATCTACCATCTGTCTGTCCCTTCTCTTTTTTTTTAAGTTCATTTATTGGGGGGGGGGGTGGAGAGAGCAAGCCCATGAGCATGGGAGGGGCAGAGAGAAAGAGAGAATCCTAAGCAGGCTCCACACTGTCAGTGCAGAGCCCGATGCGGAGCTTGAACTAATGAACTGTGAGATCATGTGAGCTGAAATCAAGAGTCAGACGCTTAACTGACTGAGCCATCCAGGCACCCCTGTTCTTTCTGTCTCTTTATCTATCATCTATCTATTCCTTTATGACCTTCTACTTTTCCTAAAATATAACTCTTGGGCAATATTTCACATGCTTGAAAATCTCAGAATACAATAATCCATTTTCTTTTGAAGTTTTTATTTATTTTATTTTTTATTTAAAATTTTTAAAAAAATGTTTTATTTATTTCTGAGAGAGAGAGAGACAGCATGAGCAGGGGAGGGTCAGAGAGACAGGGAGATACAGAATCTGAATCAGGCTCCAGGCTCTGAGCTGGCTGTCAGCACAGAGCCCAACATGGGGCTCAAACCCACGAACCATGAGATCATGACCTGAACCAAAGTCGGATGCTCAACTGACTGAGCCACCCAGGCGACCCTCTTTTAAAGTTTTTAAGTTTCCAGAATAATTCACATAGGATGCAACTCAATAGTTTTGGGGGAAAAAAGAGTTAATTTTCTGTTTTGTTTTTTTTTTTTTAATTTTTTTTTAATGTTTTTTATTTATTTTCTAGGAGAGAGAGAGACAGCATGAACAGGAGAGGGTCAGAGAGAGAGGGAGTCACAGACTGAAACAGGCTTCAGGCTCTGAGCTGGCAGTCAGCACAGAGCCCGACGCGGGGCCCGAACCCACGAACCGCGAGATCATGACCTAAGCGAAAGTCGGACGCTTAACCGACTAAGCCACCCTGGCGCCCCAATTTTGTTTTACCAGAGCCAATTTTCTTTTCCTTAGGAACAACATCATCAAATCTTTGTGGTACATTTCAATCTCCCCCAATCAGGATTGCTGCATTACATCCTCTTAGACTGTGTGGTTTCACCCAGGCATAGAATTCCATTTAGTCCTACAAATGCATATGGCTCTGCTAAGAAGAATCAGATCAGGGTCATGAACAGAATGAAAAGCACATGCTTTCACTTTCTCTCATTTTTAAGACAAATCAAATAATCCATAATGAAGTGACTCTGGATTGGGTCTTCTCTATGGCTTTAATATGCTTTGTAGAAAGACCTAAGGGACATACGGTTGAGCTGCAGCACTGATCAGATGACAAGGAGGGATTTTGCCTCCTGACCCTGACAGCGCCTTGGCTGCTGCGCTCTCCCTGAAGGCCGCTGCACGTAGGACGTCAGGGAGAGCAGGTTCTGTGGGGTCCTCCCCCTCTAGACGGGCAGGTGCCCTACACGTTAGTCAGGTGCTGCTGTGTGATCTCTCTGTCCTAGTTCCTCGTCTGTATGATCCCGATAACCATGAGTGCTAATGAGTCACACACATTTATTGAGTGCCAACTGTATACACAGAGTCCCCACCAGGGGCACACAGGGAAACAGGTAAGTTCCCCTCTTCGAAGAGGCTTAGGCTGGGGTATGTATGGGAGGTGGGAGACGGTGGTGGTGGACATACTCAGTCTGCTCAGAGCCCTCCGCTCCTGGGTCTTCCTCTGTGGACATTCCACCTCCCTGCCTTCACCTCAAAGCCACAAAGCTGGGAGATCACCGGGGCCGGGGCGCTTTTATAAAGTACCAGCTACCCCGTAGTGTTAAAACGGTAGATTCCAAGGGGACTCCTGGGGATCGAGGATTACTTGTTTGCAGTTCTCAAAGGCGCCACCCTCTGCCTCCCCTGCGTTTCCAGACTGGGCTCCTGGTCGAGGCTGTAGTGGCTGCAGAAATGACATCACATTCAGAGGATCATGATTTCAAGAGGGAAACGAGGAGGGGCGGGGATGAACTTCTTCACAAACATCCTGTTGCATGCGAGCTCGTTCAGTGTTGGAGAACTGGGCGAAGAAGTAGTGAGAACACGCCGTGTGGAGCAGAAGCATGAACGGCACACGTGGCATCTTCCCACCAGCCGGTCCCGTAGGGGTGGTGCCCTTGGTGCCTGGAGAGCACCGTGTGTGCTGAGCAGCCCCTCTCTCCCCCCAAAGCAAACCTCCCTGCTGGTGGGCGGAAGGGCAGGGAGCCAAGGACACCACACGGGTGTGTGTCCGCCGCGCTCTCTGCGGCCAGCAGCTGGGGGGCTGCCCCGCCCACGATTCGAAACGGTACCCAGGCCAGGCCGGGCCGGTTCTGCCCAAGTGCAGTGAGCGTGTGGCAAGGCCCCTGCTCATGTCACAGCCTGATTTGCTAAGGACCCCTGACTGCCATCCCCATGGTGACGCCTGGCAAGGCTGGCTGAAATAACAGGAAAAACATCCCAGTTCAGTGTCCTGTGTGGACATCGAGCCTCCTGGCTGCTCGAGTAGTTCAGGTTTTTATTGTTTTAACCTTGACATTTCAAACACTCATCTCTTCTCACCATCGGGGCTGTGCCTGTCGCGTCCCATGCAACCTCACTGGCTCGCCGCCTGCTCCTTGTCCCACATGGTTCGCCCCCTTCACAGCTCTTTGCTTGTGGACCCACAGGTCTTCCTTTACCCTGTGTCTTTCCAGCCGCATTATGGACAGGGTCTGTCTTTCATTCACTTTTGTAGTCCCATCCTTGCACACAGGAGTGTCCGCAGAACTTTAGGGACGTGGCACTGAAGGGAAGATGCAGGGAGTGTGTTACTGGTGGTGCTTGTAAGTGTGGTTTAGATTTTGGTGAGGGTGCAGAGGGTGGACTGCAAATCAGTGATAGCCTGTCCCCATCACCTGGGACCGAACGTGGTTTTGGGCTTGAATTTTACTAATGGGTTTGCATCATTCATTGAACACATACTTTGTGGGGCTAAATGCGCAACATAACGCAGTACTGCAGGGAGGTGCATACGTGGATAGCAGTCTGCAATACCATCCCCAAAGTGTGGTTGTGGAAGTTTGGGTGAGGCACGGAGGGGGCCAGGAGAGGGGCTAGGGAGGATGTGGTCAAAAACCAGAACAGTGAAGGCTTCCCCTCTCACTTTGCTGCCTTGGTGCTCTTAACGCTTGGAGTCTTGCTTTCGAGGGTCATCTCAAAGTGCTGGGACACCCATTATGTATAGGCTGGGCCTGTAGGTTTTGGTAGCATGTTTATCTTGGGTTCCATTGTGCCCACAGTGAGCCAGACCACCTGCTGGTCTGCTCATTCAGGGACACACTTGTCACTCAGCCTGTGTGGTCGGAGAGGATACCATTGCTGATGGAAGCAGGGTCTTTACATACCATCAATGTCCCCAGCATTCATCTGGTGCCTTGAACATAGCAGGTGTCCCATAACTACGGGGACAGAGCAGAGCTCACAGAGCCTCCGGCCCTGAGCTTTGTAAGTGTGAGCTTTACCAGGAAGATTTGAAAATACAGTGTTTCACAGTAGTTTTTCTGACATAGTCAAGTTATGATCTCACTAAGAATGTGGGGCATATTTTTTATGAAGTGTCTTTACTTGAATAAAAGTCTCCATGTGGACTGAAGAGGGATTTAGATGTCCTGGATATGTTTGTCGCCATTTCTATTAGTCTGCTTGCTACTTTGGGAAGTATTTTTTCAACGTAGTGAACAGTGTTTTACTAAATCTACTTCCTCCGTAGATACTCGTTGGTGTTTTCCCCTATTCCTATTAATCTCAAACTTTTTCATAAATAGCAGACTAGTATATCGGCTTATTCACTATGAAGGCATTTGTGGTCGTCATGTATGCCTCATAGACTTGATCTCAAGGGTATTCTACTTTTCTGAAGATCAGTACTTATATATTATGTATTATATATATAATATACTTACGTATATATTTTATTATGGTACGTGTAGGAGAGAGAAACTGAGAATGATGATTTTCAGTTCATCAGGAATGCTGTGTAGACATATACATACATATTTAAGTTTTTTAATAATGAACGCTTATCATTGTTTAACTCAGGATAAATTAAAATTTAAGGAAAAAGCCTTGTTTTTGACACAGAAGGTACAATCGACAACTTGTGTCATGCAGGTTAAGTCCTACCCAGTTACATGTATGCAGACCCGTGAGTTTCCATCCCTGCACTGACGAGGTAGAGAGTAAAATGCGTCTGGCTCAGGCCGAGTCAGCCTGGAGACCGGCTCTGTTCTCCAGCTGTCTGTCTGGAGATGTGAGTGCTGGGGGGCCAGGGCCCGTCACAGGCCCGCTGCGGCTGCAGGAGTCACCTGTGGCCCGGCGCTGGGGCCAGAACCTTGGCGCACTCGTAAGTCTCTCGGGCTCTGTTGCCTGTGTGTACCTTGCAGGCAGCCTGGTGGACTCGTCTGGCCATATCCTGATCCCTGGAATCTATGACCAAGTGGCTCCTCTTACCGAAGAGGAGAGAAAAATGTACAAAGCCATTGATCTGGACCTGGAAGAATACCGGACTAGCAGCTACGTGAAGAAGTTTTTGTTTGACACCAAGGTATGCTCACAAGGTGATGGCTGAGCTGAAGGACGAAAGGCAGCACCAAGTCACCCTCTCCCGGCTCCTGATTCACTGTGTGCTGCTAATCCGCACAGCTCAGAGCTGGAAGCAGGTGTTGATTCTGTGGCAGATTTTCACTCTCGCAGCAGCCACTTACTTCCCTCAGGTCTAACCCACCAGAGCTGTAGGTGGGGCCTTCCTAGCACAGGCACGCGACCTTGGGGCAGTCGCCCATCTCACAGACATGCGTTTCCAAACCAGTTTATTAGACTCAATGCGTTCAGCTGTCTGTGCTTCCTGTCTGCCTAAAGATTGAGAAGCGTCTGATTGTTCCAGATCCAAGGCCCCCAGTTGTCATTTTAATAGACAAGATCAAGAGCTGCGGGGGCTAATCTGTGAGTTGTAACATCGCTGCCTCAGTGTAAGTAAACCAGAGCCCAAAGCATTCATTTCTGGCAAATTTGGATGTTTTCTTTCCCCTCGTCCTTCTTGCCTGCTCTGGTGTGTGGGCTGTGGCTGGTTGGGGGACCTGCCAGAAGAAGGGGAGCCCCGTTGAACAGACACAGTGGAGTTTGTTATCGTGAGGCGTATATCTCTTCCCTCAGACCAGCTGGGCCTTGGCCACGGTGGGAAGGAAAACTGGCTCAACCATCCGCAGAGTCCTTTGAAGCCTTCTGAAAAAGAAAATGCTTTTTACTACACGACTTATCATCGAAATGATTGGGGGCAGAAGTTTATAATTAAGCCCCAAATTCTGAAAGGGCCCCTTTGCCATCTATTAACTTGAGAGCGCGGGCAACGAAGGGCCTTCGTCGGCAGAGCGGCTTGGTCAGGCAGAGGCAGCACAGTGTCTCAGGTCTACAGGGCAAAGTCCACTAGTTTTTTAGTTCAGACATATCTCAGGAAGGCGATAATTAACTTGTCACAAACAGTGCTGGAGATGCACAGAGATGGGTGATACAAGCAACACAGTTCAAAACAATTTTACTCGAACATTCTTTTATTTAGTAAAACGATTTTATTTTAATGCAGGAGGAAATTCTCATGCACCTGTGGAGGTACCCATCGCTGTCAATCCATGGGATCGAGGGCGCGTTTGATGAGCCTGGAGCTAAAACCGTCATCCCTGGCCGAGTTATCGGAAAGTTTTCCATCCGTCTGGTCCCTCACATGGATACGTCTGTGGTGGAAAAACAGGTGACAGATGCGCATGGTTCTCGCTCCAGTGCCACTTCTGACGGCCGCCTCCCACAGCTTAGTGGGCTATTCAGTTGTTGGCACTGACGGATCATTTTTTCCCAACATAAAAGGGATTGGAACACATGTCAAGAAACCAATATAATTTTTGTTTGGTAAAATCTCTTTCCGTTATTCTATGCAATTACAGTAGTCAGACAAATAACCATTTGGGGCTGGAGTGATGGGAAATATTTTTACATTAAACAGTTGACATAAAGGCGAGATTGGTTTACACACAGATGGAGAAGCTGATTGACTACAGCCGGATGGAGCCGAAACGCTCAAGCCCGTAGGTGGTTTGCCCTCGGTGTCTGAGATCAGTACTCTGAAAGCCGCCGTTTTAATGACAGTGTTATCTGGAAGGAGTAAAAGCCAAATTATCAACCTATCCTCAGTTTACCTCCAGTTCAACAGAAAGGAGGCTCTGGGTAAATGGGCTCCAGGAAAACCTCATCCCAGCTCTACCTCATTGACCTCTTTTATAGTTTTCCTAGCGCTAATTACGTCCCCAAACACCCGCCTGTCCAGGCTCCATCCCTGTTTTCCCTCTCCCCCCTTCCCTTTTTGGACACACCGTTTCTCTTTCTCCAGAGGTAGGAACCCCAGGAGTGCAGGCCCCTCCCCCTCTGGCTCACAGCTGTGTTCTCAGCACCGAGGACAGTTCCTGCCACCGGACAGGCCGTCAACAGATGTTTGTTGAAGCAATGAATGGGAGGGATGTTTCAGAGTATGGAGGTTTTCTTGGGACGATTTCTATTGTAGCAACTGGAATGGAGCCCAGGGGACACAGAAGGACTCTGACAGAACACTCTTTTATAGCTTAGTTTGGAATCGCCCCCACTGTTCAGAAATTTCCAAATGCATAATGTTCCCAAAAATAGCCACTAAGGTACTGACAGGTCCGAAAGGAGGGATCATCACATCCAGAAGCTCTATTGTTTCCTAATTACCAACATTCATGATACCCAAGGGTCAGAAGTCTGACTCTGTGGTCAGGATGGGGCGGGCGCAGGGCTGAGGACTGGGGGGTCCACAGGTAGAAGGGGCCTGAGACACAGGTTTCTGTAACCACTGAAGCTCTCTGTCCCCGAGGCCCCTCTGCAAGAATGAAGGCAAAATCACAGCACTTGAATTTGTCAGGTTGGGATGAAAGATGCCTGTATAGTCACTGCAGGCGAGAATAAATTGACATGTTCTCTTACAAATGGAAATGTTCCTTTTCAGGTGAAGCAGCATCTCGAATATATATTCTCCAAAAGAAATAGCTCCAACCAGATGGCTGTTTCTATGACGCTAGGACTACAGCCGTGGATGGCAAATATTAAAGATAATCAGTATCTTGCGGCAAAAAGAGCCATCAAAACAGGTTAGACTTGCGATATCGCGAGTTGCCAGTTTACCGTGGGACCAGGTGTGGTGCCTGGTGGGACAGTGGAGACGACAGCATATTTAAAACTTGCCTTTGGCCTTCCTTTCCATCTAGGCTAGGTTACTGAGTGCCAAGTATGCACAGGGCTGCTCCTCACACACACTATCTCCCCGCCTTCCCAACAGCCTTCCCTGGTTCACGAAGCAAGTCTGCAGGACATTAAGGAATTTGCTGAGGAGCACTCAGCTGGATGTGGCAAGGCTGGAAGCCTGAGCTTTGGGCAAAATGATGGACTTGAGAGCCTCTGATACTTATGGAAGTGATGGCCAACATATAAAAATGTCCTTTAAAGGGAACAGCTGAATTTTTGTGAAAGTAAAGGAACCCTGCAGTTAAAAATGAGGAAAGAGCTAAAACTTAATGGAGCGAGCAAGCTTACACTGGGCCACCCTGTGGGGATTTTCTCTTCTTTTTTAAAAAAATTAAGTTAATTTATTTTGAGACAGAGGGAGAGAGAGAGAGATATCATGAGCAGGGGAGGGGCAGAGAGAGGGAGAGAGAATCCCAAGCAATGCAGATCCTGTCATGGGGCTCGAACTCATGAACTGTGAGATCATGACCCGAGCCGAAATCAGGAGTTGGATGCCTAACTGACTGAGCCGCCCCGGCACCCTGGGATTTGCTCTTCTTGGTCACAGGGAGGAGTGAGTTTTCATGGCCTTAGGCCAGCATGAGGTGGGGAATGGGAAGCGAGACCCACTACATGAAGGCAGGACCGATCCAGGCTCTTACTAGAGGGGTTTAGCCATGGGCCCATCCTCACAATGTTTGGGTCTTCAAATTCTACTCTCTGTGAGGTCTAGTTCTGATGCCCCAAGGCAGGCCATGTGGGACTTCCAGAGAGTTGCTTCCTGGGGATGAGCTCATTCTACAAAATTACCAAACACATAAGCTCAGTTCCAGACTCTAAAACCAGTGGTCTCTTTACAGTGCCACTCTGCTTGTCCAGGGGTAGAGAAGGAAGCATGGCTTTACTTGGAATTTCCTCAGTGGTGCCTGTTTTGAAGGCACATCCTTTCAAGTCCTGGGCTGGATCATGTGGTTGGTGAGCATGGGACAGGTGTCTGCACCCTGGCTGCCTAGTCAGGGAGAAGGAATACCCAGTCTCTTTGGGTTCTGCAGCAGCGAGGCAACACTGCCCACAAATGCAAAGTAGGGGACTCTCTGAAAAGTAGGGGGATTTTCAGGGTCTCCCCAAAAGCCAAGTGAGAAAACACTGACATGTGTTTATATGGACCTCTGGGTGTTATATTGTGGGTGAGACCTCAGGCCACATCCCACAGGAGTCAGAGCTGAGCTGGAATTGGAAGTTTAGGCCACCTGGGAGCAGTAACACTTTTTACCAGGGTTATCTGTACCAAGAACAGGGACATTAAAAATTTAGAGGCAGGAGGGCACCAGAGTTCAGTTGGTCAGTGGTTAGGCATCCAACTCTTGATTTCATCTCATGATTGTGAATTTGAGCCCTGCGTCTGGCTCCGTACTGGAAATGGAGCCTGCTTGGGAGTCTCTCTCTCCCTTTCAAAATAAATAAATAAAATTAAGGTCAGTTCTGCTTTCACCACTGTTTACTTAAAACATAGTTGTCCACACAATCATCCCTGCTGCTCCAGCTGTAGCAGTGTTTTATCAGTAAACTGTGGAAGTCAAGATAAGAGAAAGAAAAGTTAGAAAAGTAAGTGCAATGCCAGCTGAAGAGAGATGTGGGATTGAAATGTTAAGGTAAGCAGTAAAGACCGGAAATACTCTTGCAGGAATGCATAAGGCATTTGCATGGTTTATCGTGTGTACAACCAGTTCTAGCAAAGTACATCATCCGTATTCATGTTCACACCTTGCTCTGTGGGTAAAGAACAGGTGGCAGGTTATCTTTGCGTCTTTATTTTGCATTTCCCCTCCATCACTGGCATCTTGTTCCCTAGCCGAGAAGGTTTCAACTCATCTTTCTAGACCCTAGGGTATCCACTGAAATGACTCGATGGGCCACCTTGACAGCTGAGCACAGATACCGCAACATTCAGGTGATGGTTGAATACAGCTATTCATGTATATATTGCTTACAAAACCAAAGAAGTCCCGCCTTCCAAATATTTAATTCATGAAGCAACCACGAAAGTAGGTACATTGTCTTGAATTACTCTTGCCAGAAATACATGACCTCTTCCAATCATGAGAAAATGTTAGACAAACCCAGATGAGGTTACAAAACAACTGATCAGTAATCTTCAAGAGGGTCAAGGTCATGGAAGAGGAGGGAAGACCAAGGAACTGCCACAGACCAGAGGAGAGTAAGGAGCGGTTGGGATTCTACATTGGATCCTGGATAGAAAAAGGGAAAGCTTGGTGAACTCCAAAGAGGTCTGAATTGAGTTAATATTATTCCAATATTGATTTCTTATCCTTTATAATTGTACAATCATTACTGATATAAGATGTTAACATTACAGAAAGAAAAGTGAGGAACATATGGGAACACTGTACTATTTTTGCAACTTTTCTATAAAATTTACAATTCAAAATAAAAATTTTATTTAAAAAGTTCTTTTAATGTTTATTCATTTTTGAGAGACAGAAAGAGAGAGAGATGGGAGGGAGAGTGGGGGAGGGGCAGAGAGAGAGGAGAGAGGGAATCTGAAGCAGGCTCTGAGCCACCAGCAGAGAGCCCAGTCTGGGGCTTGAACTCACGAACTGTGAGATCATGACCTGAGCTGAAGTTGGATGCTCAGCGGACTGAGCCGCCCAGGTGCCCCTAAAAAGTTTTTTCTTTCCAAGTAGGTAATTATAAAGAAGGCAACAATGGTTTTCTTCTTGACTCTATTGACTACTTTAGAATATAAACTGCATGATATCAAGAAGCTTACTTAACCCAGGCACCAAATTTAATGGTTAAATAACAAAGAAAAAGAAAAAAGAGAAAGTAAACACTACATTTGAGAAGATCGGTAGGGGTAGTCTTGTCATTATTTTATTCACATGCCTTCCTTCCCTGTGTTTCAGTGTTTGGAACAGAGCCAGACATGACCCGGGATGGCTCAACCATACCGATTGCCAGAATATTCCAGGATATCATCCAGAAGAGTGTGATGATGCTCCCGCTGGGTGCTGTTGATGACGGGGAGCATGCTCAGAATGAGAAAATCAACAGGTTAGCTGACTCCGGGGGGCGGGGGGGCTGGGGGGGCGGTCCCTCACCATACAAACCTCACGTCTCCACATGGTAACCTCCTGCCGCTACATACTTGATTTTGAATTTCCATCACCAAACCTTCCTGTTTACGTTGTAGGCTGCTTTCCCCTGTCATTCACCTGGAAATAAGTGTTTCTCTTTGTTTCTTCTTTTGTTAGGTGGAACTACATAGAGGGATCCAAGTTATTTGCTGCCTTTTTCCTAGATATGGCTAAGCTGCATTCCTAAAGACAGGGACCTTCCAGCTTGGAGCTGACCTACTGACAGATACCCTCCCCTGCTGCTCTGGATAGGAGTAGAATCTGAATATCCAGAGAACCTCAGTCCAGGAAATAATGTTTTCCCTCGTACTTAAAATGTCTTTGGACATTTGGGCCAGTGATAAAATATTTTATAGGTGCAGACATTGGAAATGGTATACCACCCAGTGGCACATCTCTCTGAAGTCACAGCTACCTGCGACATCTCCCTACGTCCAGCTGTAGGAGGCCCGGGAGTGGACTCACTCTTTCCTTGCATCACACGGACAGTTCTTCCATTAGACCCTCCGGGCACTTGGAGGGGCCTGATCACTCCAGTGTGCCTTTAGGTCCTGGGGGTGCTCATGACATACTCATTCCATGTTTATATACCCTTGCTTTTACCACACATTCCTTTTACTCGTACAACTGTTGGTCCCACCACTGGCTACCATGATTTCCCTGTGTGTTCATTTCTAGAGGGGTAACTAAAGCGCGACGCCCTCTTAACCTTTTGCTTCCCCTTCGTTTATTTTGCTTTGTTGCTTGGAAAGTTCTGAAACAGAAATGGTTAGTAGTTTTATCCCTATGCCGTTTGGGATTCCCTTTGTGAAGATGAGTACTTTTCTTTCTTTCTTTCTTTTTTTTTTTTTTAATATTTTTATTTATTTCTAGGAGAGAGAGAGAGAGAGACAGCATGAGCAGGGGAGGGTCAGAGAGAGAGGGAGACACAGACTCCAAAACAGGCTCCAGGCTCTGAGCTGGCAGTCAGCACAGAGCCCTATGCGGGGCTCGAACCCACGAACCGCAAGATCATGACCTAAGCGAAAGTCGGACGTTTAACCGACCAAGCCACCCAGGCGCCCCAAAGATGAGTACTTTTCTACTTCAAGGCTCTTCACCTTTTCTGGAATTGATGCCAACCGACCACCCCTCCTGCACCCTCTTCTTTCTTCCTACCCCATCCTCCCAAACCACAGCAGAATCAATCCTGATAGAAGTTCCCTCACCCCATTGGAATTTTACTCAGTGACTACATCCAAATTGCTCAAAGCTTTTAATAGCATCCGTTTTAGATACAGAACGAATCTAATCAGCCCTGACATCAGTAACACATTCTAAATTTAAAGCCATCAGCTAATGCTGCATTTAGTAATCATTTTAGTTAACCATCTTGTTTGCCTTGATTGCGTTTGATGGTGTAAACAAACAAACAAGAAGAATGTAATTTTTCTACAGTTGAGTGTATACAAACAAATCAATTCAGTCTTTATAAATTCATTATTTAAATCACATTAATGGAGAAGAATTTAAGAGTTTATTAAGAATGTTTCTCTTAGGATTCCAAATAAAATCAAAGCATAATACATTTAATCTTTGTGGGTTCTTGAAATATCAGTTTTAAAATTTGCAGTATCATATCTAAAAGGCTGCACCACAGGCCAATGATTCAGCTTCTCATCACAGAAATGGGACCTAAATGAGGTATCAGCTTCGTGGGGGCATCGACGAATGATCTACTTTTCTTCTGATGCTGGTGAACATCAATTTCTGTTCATTGAGTATTGACAGGTGTTTGATCTGCTTTATTGTTAAGCTTGGTTCATGCCTGCCAGATTATGTTGAATCATGTGACGTTTTGGATTTTGCAGGGCTTATCTGATGTATTTGGCAGAGTTCCCAAGAACTAAATGCAAGAGGTTTAGGACACCAATTTATATTCTTAAAAGGGTGTTCATATTAGTCAATTAACAAAAGCTGGCTGTAAAGTAAATTCAAGTACTTCTGAGCAACGTAACATCACTCAGCGTACTGGCCTGGGAACCTGTGTGAGTGTGCATCACACGGTGCAGCAACCTCTTCAGTGACACCTGTTCTCTGCACTTGCAGCTGGAGGAGGGCAGTGGGCCAAGGGCACGCAGAGGGCGTGAAGTGGGCCTCTTCTCCCTCCACATGCTCACCCCACTACATCCTCTGTCAGCCATCATTAGCAGGATGCCTGGGACTCCCAGCACAGCTCCCCCCAGCCACCTCTTCTGAGAACTGGACCCCCACTCCCCTTGCATATTTCATATTTCATGAAACTTGACTCATCCAAAACGGAAACTCTTGTCCATCCTCCCAAACCTGTTTCCCCTGATTTGGTACATGGACTATTGGAATCCTAAGTCTTCTTTGAAACTTCTATTTCAAATCCAATTCAATATTAAAACCAGCTGACTCCATTTTTCAATAGTTACCACTTCCTTCCATTTCCACTGTCGTGTCCAATGGCCTGAAAGCCAAATCCTGTGTAACTGTTGCTTGCTTATTGCAGAAGCCCTTACCCAATCTCTTTGCCTAAATGGCAGCTCTCTCCCATGTATGTCACACTGCAGTGTGCATGTCCCTGTGGAGTGCACTGCACATCAGTAGACTGCAAAATCAGTAGACTGATGCACACAAATTATTTCCCTTGAGCAACTACAAGATTGGGCAACACTGGTCAGCTGCTCCCACAGGCTGATGAGCCAGTGGAGCTGAGAGGTTGTGCCAAGCACAGTGGCTGGCCCATAATTTGTGCTCAACACATTTCTTATAAGTGGAAAAAGAAAGAAGTTCACAAAAGAAGATAATGCTATTCAATTTGGTTTCTCACACACTTTCACTTTGTAACATCCACATTCTATTTTCTAGAGCTCGTAACACTCATGAAAGCTAATCTTCCTCTTAACTACATTGAAAAGAGCTTTCCTCTTTAGGAAGCAAGCTCTGGGAGGAAGAGGCTGGGTTGGGTATATTCTATATTTTGCTCAGCCATCCAAAAGCTCAAACAATTGATGAAGTATAAAGAGAAAAACAGAAGATTTTCGGAAGCAAAGTGATGTATTCTTTCTTTTCCAGCATGATGTGGAAGAGGACAGATGGTAGGTGTAATAACTATAATTTGTTAACAGTTATGATAAGTAAATAAATACTTCTGAGCTTTTTTAGCTTGAGTAGACTGAAAAGAAAAAAGTTTTTATTACATGGAAAAATTTTATTTAAAAACATTATGCTAGTATAATTTCTTATCCAGAATGAAAAAAGATGTCAGAAAAATTATGCCTTTGAATATGATAGAAAACGTGAAGTTTGAAATCATCTCACCTCCCACATTGAAATTCACCAAAACATCATTCAAAGGGAATGTAGATTTAAAATTCTAGTGTGGGTGGTTAAGTGTTCGTAGCACATTATTACTGTTATTGTAGGCAGGCATTTGAATGTAATGGCAGTACATGTTAAAGGGAATTAGAACTTTAAATGTCACTGTTAAATTCATCTTAAAAAAATGATTAGTCACCAAAAATGACCAATTCTTTCTTTCAAATTTTGAATAATTAGAATCAAATAAGAGACTATCTAAACTTCATTTAAAACTCACTTGAAGAGCCAGAAGGCAGAGCCCAGGGTTACTACATTAGCACACAGTAAGGGAGGGAGGTTCTGGAAAGAAGAGTCACAACGGGAAAAGGCCAGATTCTGTATACTCTGCCTAAATTGCCAGATGACCTCTAAACTATGCATATGTGAGGCAGATTCAAGCATCCCAGCTAAGGCTGAGGGAACTGAATGAGATTTCAGTTTTACCACAAGAAAGACAAACTATGGAGTACAAATACATCCAGAATAACTAACGGCCTATTAAAGCTCTATCGACCACAAACAACATCTTCAGAGGAAAATAACTACATTAGGTAAATGTCTAGAAAACAACCCAAAATTACTAGACACTTAAGAAGCAGGAAAACAGGACTCCCAGCCAAGAGAAAAAAAAATCAATGGTGCTTAATCCCCAAATGATTGATGTATTGGAATTAGCAGACAAAATGTCAAAGCAGGTCTTACAGCTTTGCTCAAAGACATAAAAGAAAATATGCTTTCAATAAGTAAACAAATAGGAAATCTCATCAAAGAAATAGAAATGGTGAGACAACTGAATAGAAATTTTAGAAATAAAAGGTGCAATATCTGAAATAAAAAAATCATTAATAGTTTTAACAGATAATTGGAGACAACAGAAGAGTCAGGGAACACAGAAAATAGATTGATAGAAATTATTCAATCTGAAGAACTGAGAGAAAAAAAGCATGAAAACATAAAAGGACAAAGCCTCACTGAGTTGTATGTAATATCAAGAGGTGTATATATATTTGATTGGAGTTCAGGAGAAAAAGAGAATGGGGAAGAAAAATATTTGGAGAAATAATGGCCCCCAATTTTCCAAACTTGGTAAATAATAACCTTACAAATTTAAAAGCTCAGAAAATACCAAGCAGGTTAAGTATGAAGAAAATCCTGGCTAGGCAGATTATAATCAAACTATTAGAAGCCAAAAATAAAAATTTGAAAGTAGCCAGAGAAAAATGACAAATTACATATAGGGAAACATAAATGAGAGGAAAGTTCTGAATGATCTTTGCTCCATCAGAAACAAATGAAGGCCAGAAGATATAGAAAGATATCTTTAATAAACATCTCTTGTGGGCAGCACATGGGGATAAGATAGTCTTTTTTATCTATTATGGCAATTCTTTTTAATGGAGTAGTCACTAACACATTATTTAATTATTAATATAGTTAATTATTAATAGTGAGATTAAGGTCTCCCACTTTGCTATGTTTTCTGCACTTCACACCTAACTCTCATCTGTTAACTTTTTGGAAATCCCCTTAAATTGTGTAATAAAGGAGAACAATAAAAAATAGGTATAAAAATAAGGTTTGATCATTACATTTTTATTTTTTTATTATTATTTTTAAAATATTTTTATTTATTTCCAGGAGAGAGAGAGACAGCGTGAGCAGGGGAGGGTCAGAGAGGGAGACACAGACTCCGAAACAGGCTCCAGGCTCTGAGCTGGCAGTCAGCACAGAGCCCGACGCGGGGCTCGAACCCACGAACCGCGAGATCATGACCTGAGCGAAAGTCGGACGCTTAACCGACTAAGCCACCCAGGCGCCCCTCTTGTTTTTTTTAATTAAAAAAATTCACAAACTTACACGAGGAAAATGAGGTCCAATGTAGGTCACATTATGACGTAAAAGTCTGTTCCAGCAAAATAATGGATGAAAGTGATGAGGAACTCACTTTATTTCAGTGCTCAAGGGTGAAAGAGAACAGGTTTACTAAATCTCCAAGTTCAGACAGGTCTTACTAAAGACCAATCGCCCCAAGCCCCACAGACGCCTAATCCACATGAATTGCACTACCTACTGCTGCCATTCAGAGACTATCACCATGTCATACAAGACCAGCACTGTGAATATAGAGGTTTAGAAGATTATATTAGTGAGTGCTACATTTTCAAGTAAATTCTAAGTAATCTTCAAGTGAACTCTTTGGATACAGAATCTCGTTTTTTTCTTATCTTTTACCAATGATATTTTCATTTATGTTTTTACCTGTAAATATCAGCTAATGGTAGAAACATAACATTGACAGGATAGCCGCTGTTCTAAGGAAATTGTTTTTCATGTATTTCTCTAGAACTTTTAATGCACTATTACTAAACTAAGTCGGCACGGTAGACTGGAAAAAGGTGACTGGAGTTTAAAGCTGAATCTCACCTTTATTAGCTGCGTGACCTTGGGATGGTTATTTGACTATTTCAACCTGCAATAGCCTACCTACCGTGGAAAACAGACATGCGAACTCATATCGCTTACAATGGGAATTTGACGAGATACCACCTGTATTATTCTAAAAAATGTTAAAAATTCTCATCACCTAAATATTTGCATTTTTATAAAAAAGAACTGAGTGAACCGGAACTTGAGAGATGATGTGTTTTAGAAAACCTATCGCTATTACTATAAGGCCATACTTTTAAAATCCCATTTGCTTAAAATTCTCTTTATAAATACGAACCTATTATTTAACAGATTTCCCTAGCAAACCCGAGCCCAGGCGGGGTGTCTGTCACTGCAGTTTTCTAGCTGTGGTTTTCCTTGCTAGACTCTGGGTTTCCAAAGACAAGACCGTGAAGGGCAGGTCCGTGCGGGCTCCCGCACGAGGATGGGGCGGGGGGTGCTGTGATTCCTACAGCCGGGCCCTGCCGGCTTTGAGGGTCGTCGGGCCCTGCCATTAGGGTTTACAGAAGCAGCCCGTGCGGGGACGCTTTAAACACGAAGAACTTCTCAGCTTTTTAGGCCAAACCGGCGAACCACCACCCGCGGCTTCCCCGCCTTCCCGCTGGGTCAGGATTCGGTTCGCGGCTTCCCAGGGCCTTGACTCTGAAGGTCCCTTTCTGGAGTCACCCGAGAGGGTCTCCCCGCACGCTGGGGCTGCGCAAGCGCCCGGCGCAGCACAAAACCCTCGTCCTTTCGGATAAGGGGCCCAGGGGCGCCGGGCGCCCGCCGGCCCCTTCCAGGCCGGGGATAGCCGGCCGGCGCAGGCCTCTGCGCGCCCCGCATGGCCCAGGCCACGTCGGTCTCCCGCGCCGCCCTCGGGGCACTGCATGGCCGTCGGGCGCGGGAGGAGGGTGGGGAGTGAGGGGTAGGGAAGGGCCGGGACTGCCAGGGAGGCGCCCGCCCAGGGGCCCTTTGGAAATCCCAGGGGGTGGCATTCCTGCTCGGACACCGCCAGCTTTCCAGCAGGACACGCATCTCCCCTCGTTGAGATTGACTCCGTCGGCCTTCCGTCTTCCTCTCCGGGGGAAGGGCGGGACTTCCGGTTTCATTTCCGATTGGCTTCCAGCAAGAACTGATGAACTGAAAACAAGACGGCACACGGGTCTGCGGGCCAGTCGGGGCAGAAGCAGAGAAACCGATGTGGGCTTCACGAAACCTGTTCCGATATTCTGTTTTTTGGTCGTGGTGTCCGGCGCTCGGTCCACGACGGAGCCGACCTGGAAACCGCCGGAAGTCGCTCAACGGAGAGACAGGAAGTCCCTCCCCTTCCTCCCAGAGGGAAGACGGTGAGCCGGAGGAGTCAGTCAGAGGGGCGAGCAGGAGCGATTCCGTCGGCAAACAGGTAAGTTATTCTCTGGCCGGGGCGGGGGGTTTGGAGGCGGGGACCGTCCAGCGTCAGCGCAGGGCCTGGGGGCGGTGGCTTGAGGACCCGGGCCCGGGCGGCTGGGCGCCGGGAGCCCCGCCAGGGCCCTTCGCTCTTCCTCCTCCCCCCTCCCCCCGCCTCCGCCCCTCCCCGCTCGCCGGTCCCTCCCGACGCCGCCCAGCCTCGCCCGGCACACGCCCGCAGCCCGCAGCCCGCGGCCCGGCCGCCGCCCGGCCTCCGCTCCCGCCCTCCCCCGCTCGCTGCGCGGCCGGCGGGGCCCGGGCTCCCCCGCGGGGCCGTCTGTCAGCAGCCTTGCGCGCAGCGGGGCGCTCCTTACCGCCCGGCGCTCTCCGTGTGGGACGCACGCCCCGGCGCGGAGCTGCGGAGGTGTCGGCTTCTAGTCGGGGCGGTGGTTTCCTCCGCCCCCCGCCCGGTCACCCCCAGATGCTGATGCGCCGCTGTCTCCCGCGCCTCCTTCCGTTAAGGACGCTAGGCGGGCGGCGGCCCCCAACGCTGGGGGCCGGGGGCTGCGCGACTGCAAGTGGAGGGTCCCGGCCCCCCAGGATCAGCCGCTCTCGGCACCGGGGCGGGGGGGGGAGCCGGGGCCGCGGCGCACCAGGGTCTGCAGCGGGGGGTTTTGCCCCGGTAGACGCCCCCCTCTTCCAGCCGGGGAGCGCGCCCCGAGTGCGCTTGCCCGCTTTCTGGAGCGGAGTCTGGTGGAGGTGGTCCTGGAGCTGCTGACCCCTGGCGGTCGTGTTGAGTTTTGAGTCTCCCTCTTATTTCGTGGGGGAGTTGAGGAACACGAAGGGCATCTTGGCAAGGTTGGCATCCATTGACACGTGTAGGATTTATATTTATATTGACACGTGGGTAAGCACAGCCCTGTTGGTGACTGAGGTGCAGCCTCACAGCCAGGGCCGGTGGGATCAGTTACAACAGGCCCCCGCTTCGCGCTGAGGGGTTAGTCCGCTTGGGACCCCCGTGAAGGGAGGAGCACTAACTAGTGGATGCTGATGACGTCATTAGGGGAGCTCACTTGATGTGTGCTCTATAAACTTCGTTAAGCACAGCAGTCTTCCAGAGTAGCAATTGTTCCCTGTTTAACTGCCAATTAAAAGCCAGATTAACGTGGCCAAAGTGAACGTCAGAATTAAAATCCTGAGATTAAATGTGACCAAAGTGAACGTCAGAATGAAAATCTTTGTTAGTCCTTTTACACATTTATTACACTCGAGTTACCCACTCCCGTTGGCTCTCCAGTAGCTGGTGTCTTCTGGCTCATTTGCTAAGGCAATTGGGATTATTGCTGGAAACAGTTGCTACTGGTGTCTTTTTAAAAACTTTTTTTTTTTTTGATATAATTTCAGAGGTATAGAAAGGCTGCAGGAAGGGCGGAGAGATCCCCTGGTATTCTGCCAAGTGGCCTCACCTCTGCCAACACTGGTGCCCGCTTTTTCCCAGACTCCACTCTAGCTGCTGGGGTTCTAACACACTGCCCTGGAGGGCGTCGGGGTCTGGCTGAGGAGACCACAGAACAAATAACGGTGCCTTTTGTTAAGTGCTACCATGGGGGTAGGGTGGGGGAGCACTGAGCAGATGGTCTGACCCTGCCTGCGAGGAGCAGCCAGGGCTTGAGGCTTATGGGGAGTTAGGTCTCCAGGATTGGTGGCTATTCACTTGCTCCATGAAACATTGGTCCCAACATTGACTCTGATGAGGTTTGTGTTGTTAGGGGAGAATTCTCTAGCCTATAAAACAGACCCTCCTCTTCCTCTTTCCCTTATCTCAGAGAAGACATTGGTGTCACAGGTATCACAATTGTGAGAAGACTACCGCGTCGTAAATCCATGAGTAGGAGAGGAAATTAAGCTGTGTTTCTTACGTAGCAATGGAAGTGTCTAAATCTATTTTAAAATTCTTTGTTTTTAAACTTATTAAAAACTTCTTGTCTGAACGCGTGTTTTTTTTTTAAATTTGTGTTTGTTTATTTTTGAGAGAGAGTGCAGGTGGGGGCAGGGCAGAGAGAGAGAGACAGACAGACGGACAGACAGAAACAGAAACAGAATCCGAAGCAGGCTCTAGGTTCCAAGCTATCAGGACAGAGCTTCACGTGGGGCTTGAACCAATAAACTGTGAGATCATGACCTGAGCTGAAGTCAGACACTTACCTGACTGAGCCACCCAGGCAGCCCAGATCACATATGCTCTTTATGCACAGACAGGGACACAGTTCCTCTGAACTATCACCTGGTGTGTGGGATCCACGCCAGACATTTGAGTGAGTGTCCTAGCTTGGCTGCGGTAACAAGATATGATAGCCTGGGGGTGTGAAGCCACAGACGTTTCTTCTCGCAGCTGGGCACACGAAGTCCAGGGTCAAGGTGCTGGTTCCTGGTGAGGACTCTTCCTGGCGTACACAAGCCACTTTTTGCTGTGTTCTCACATGGCAGAGAGCGAGAGAACTCTGGTCTTTCTCCTTTAAACAGATTTTCTTTTTTAGAGTTTATTTGTTTTGAGAGAGAGAGAGCGAGAGCGCACATGCACAAGCAGGTAAGGGGCAGGGAGAGTGGGAGAGAGAAGAGTCCCATGCCAACTCTGCGCTGTCAGCATAGAGTCTGACACAGGCCTCGAACCCATGAACCATGAGATCATGACCTGAGCCACCCAGGAGTCCTGCTCTTGATTCCTCTTGGAAACCCTATCCTCATGACCTCATTTAAATAAAATTACCTCTCAAAGGCCACACCATCACATTGGGGATTGGGGATTCAGCATATGAATTATGCAGGACATAATTCAGTCTATAGTAGATGGATTTCTTGGAGATGTTGTCATTGTGTGGGATTCCTCCTACACAGACTTGACATGGAACTAAATAGGAAACCGTAGAACCAGCATTTCTATAGCTTTGGTTAACACAAACTTAATTTTATCTAAATAAATTATTTTAGATAGATATGATTCAGAGACCAGTTGAAGAAAAGAAGAAATTTTAATTGTTTCTTTTTTCTTCTAAATTTATTAGAGAGAGAGAGAGAGCGAGAGAGAGCAGGGGAGGGGCAGAGAGAGAGGGAGACACAGAATCCGAAGCAGACTCCAGGCTCTGAGCTGTCAGCACAGAGCCCGACGTGGGGCTCGAACCCACGAACCGTGAGATCATGACCTGAGCCGAAGTCGGATGCTTAACCGACTCAGCCACCCAGGCGCCCCTGTTGCTTTCTGATGACAAAGAAATATGTGGTGAAATGCTGTGGTGGTCTTTTCACTTTGAGGCTTTAGAGGAATGAGTGCTTTCCTAGATTGATCAAATCTGGGTCCAGGGACTGTGGCAGTGATCTGTTCCAGTTCCTTCCTTGTCCTGTAAAGAGGCTGAGCCCCCACAGAAGGTGAGTAATCTGTCTCAGAGATTAGTGACAGAGCAGGGATTAGAGTCAGGTTTCCTGATTTACGGGCCAGTCCTTCTGCTTCCATCAGTGGTTCTCAAACTTGGGGCGCATCAGAGTCACCTGGGGAGCTTTGTGAAGAAACACATCCCCGTGGAGGCTCTGGGTTTGCGGGTCTGGACTGGGGCTGAGAAGTTGCATTGCTGACAAGCTCCTCCCGGGTGATGTTGAAGCTGGGGGCTCTGAGGTCACACTTTGAGAACCCTGGCCTGATACGATGTTACCTTTGTTCTCTTCTAAGAAGAGAGTACGTAAATTCCATGGGCTTATACCAGTGTAACCCCCTCCCCCAGTAGTCAGACAGGTTCCTTAATTTTGTCCTATAAACAGCAGTGCACCAAAAACATAATGATTCCATGGGAAAAAAAGAAGGACTAGAAATACAATATTTCTCAGAGAGAGTCATTTTAGCACTTTTAAGGATAATTTTTGGAGTTAACTCTAGAGGTCAAAACCACTTACTGCCGAAGGGCATACATGAGAAGTATGAGTGCCCTCTGTCTTAACAACATTTACACTAAGGGTGTCTGGATTCATTGCTAGATTGTGTAGGATTCAAAAATTATTTCCAGTTTTGTTACTCAGTGCTTTTCTCTGTTGTGTTCTAAAGTGTTCATTTCTTATACATCAAAATTTTATCAGGCTCTAGCACAGTTAGAGTCCATAAACGTAAGCTGAATTGAATTAAACAAACATTAAGGGAGAAAATAAAGTAGGTTGTTTATCTGGAGAGATGTCAGTTCCCTAGGAAATATATGAAATAATTACACTTTATTTAGGCCTTATTTGGAATTATTGGGGTTTTTTAAGCACCACTTTGGAGGATGTAGCCTATTTTTATGTTAGTTAATGAGTGATCCCTGTCATACCTTTGTATCATTCAGCTGAAATGATTTGTTAACACTTTATACTTTGAAATAATTTTAGATTTATAAAAAAATTGCAAAAATAGTTCAGAGAGTTCCTGTATACCTTTCAACCAGCAGCCCTCGTTAACATCTTATGCATCCATAATGCAATTATCAAAACCAGCAGATGATACAATTATTATCTGAGTTTCACCACAGATGTCTTTTTTCTGGTCCAGGGTCCAATCCTGTGTCCCCGCGTTGCATTAAGGTGTTCCATCTCCTTAGTCTCTTCCAGTATGTGATGGTTCCTTTTGGGTTTCTTTAGTTTTCATTACCTTCACACATTTGAAGAGTGCTGATTAGTTATTTTGTTGAATGTCCCTCAGTTTGGATTTGTCTGATGTCCTTTGATGATTAAATCGAGAGTTAAGCATTTTGGCAAGAATACCACAGTGGAGAAGTTGTGCCCTGCTTAGTCTTATACTGGGACATGCATATGGCAAGACAGGATATGTCTTGTCACTGATGAGTGTTGATTTTGATTTCTAGGTTGGGGTAGTGTGTGATATCTGTGCTCTAAATTTAAAAATTTTCCCCTTGTAATTAGTGAGTTTCATAACTTTACCAATTTTTGGTGCAGAAATTTAAAAGGAATGAATGTATAATGTCAGAATCCTTTGAGCCC